GGTAGGTGTGTGTATGTAAAAAGGTCCATTATTTTGTAAGAATATTTTTTAAACGTCCCTTGAAGATTTCAAACGTAGTGAATTTTAAATTGTAAGGTTAAAAGGGTTTATTTAATTATGGGAACAAGTCCTATAAAGAAAAGTTATATACACAGTTGTAAGTAATGAATGAACTACAACTTTTAATATTTTATGCAAAATCAAATATTCAAACTTTGGGTATTTTATTTTTATCTTGTACAAAGAAAACTTTATATTTTAGTCTCTGAAACTTCAGGCGGTGTATTCAAAAATACTCAATTTGAAAAATAAATCTAATCTATGATTGTCGCCCGCTATCTGATTTGCAAACTGAAACGAGATGTCAGCTAGTTTGAGAATACTAATTAAAAGACGTACATGGAGACAATGTAGAAGAAAGTACTTGAAACAAATAATAAATTCTAGTAAGCACGCGATGCTGAGTATAGGTTAATAACATTTAAACTATTGCACATTACAGTGCTTGTAATCTCCAGCTTTTAACTGCTATAAAAGCACATAGGTAAAGTAAATATATGTTCTTCTATTCCGCATACATTGAATATTTTATTTAATGTTTTATATTACAATTGATGAATATTATTATCATACTTAAACCATAGCATTATAGAAAGCATGAAAAAAGCTTAGCTTCAGCTTCCTAAGTATAATACGGTGAGTTTCTTATAGCATAAAATATTTCTTCGATATTGTAAAATAATATAAATATAAATATAAAAATAAATAAAAAGTTTTCCCTAAGGAATTTATTTGATCGAACTGTTGGTATGACTCAAATTGTTTTATATTATTATATATTATATAACGAAAATTGTCTAGTAATGGTGTTCCTCAGATAGTTGTTTTCAATTCCAGAATTGTTGTAAACAAATTAAGTTGCTAGGAATAGAAAGAATTAAATATATTTTAAAATAAGTGTCACATGCATCCAAGAACTATTTTATTTTTGCAAGACGTAGTCAAGACTCTTTTTGGTTTTCGTGGTTTATTGTTTCTGGTTCAAACTCGATACCTCATATATATTAGTACAAATAAGGCAAAATTGTTATGAGTATACCTACATAAGTACATTGACAGAAATTACGACATTTTTACACTTACTTTTTCTATATGGATGTATTTGTATATAGTTTTTATTCCAAAGAGCTATGGATAGAGATCTATGATTGATTGCTTATTTAAGTAAATCTATTATCTATGGTATTATCTATTGCTTATGCCTGTTTATGTGATATGTCTATCGTTAGCTTGACCATTTTCCCGGTTTGGCCAGGTCCGGATCGAGTTAAGCGTGCCGGAGTTGCTCTACCTATTATATAATATGTGCGATTTTCAGTGAATTATTAATATGAAAAATCGATGACTAAAATCCGTCCCGGATGACAAAATATACACATAAGTCTATCGTAATATTTAATTTATTTCACCGATTTATTACGATTAAAAATTATAAAAGGCAATATAAGTTATTCAAAATTTGAAACCATTTATTTTTGTTTTGGTATGCTCTTTGTAATATTTAAATTTTTAAATTTAATTTATTAAACTTTAGCAAGTGGCAACCTTCCTAAAAATATTTACAATTGTTTTTAAATTGTAAACTATAAACCACTAATTTCACGCACGTCTTGTAAATTAAATTTATTTATTGAATTAAATGTTTTAAAAGCTGGCAACTCCCTCAAAATATGCATAAGAAATTATATTTCAACTGAAAATTTTATTAAACTTAATTTTGTGTGCGTATTGTAATATTTAATTTTCCCGTAATTTAAAGCTATGATAACAAATAATTTGAAAATGTGAACTCTTTTAACTTATTTTCAACTTTAGCTTTAGACATCTTTACTTGTAAGCGTTATTATATAAATGTTTTATACTTCAAATTTCCATTCAGGTGGCAACCTTTGAATTATTTGGTTTAGCTATCCGGTTAATATATTGAGCAATCAAACAAAAAGCAATTATTTCGCAATAACTTTGAGGCTACTTTGCATACATGAGTGACGAAATTTTGTGAATAATTGTTGCAATCATTTGTAATATGCTTAGCGTATTCTCAAGTAATAATGTGAGAAAATAACAAAATATTTTTTAATTTCCAAAATAGCATAAATTAATTTTACACATTTTTAAAAGACAGTTAAATTAATATTTTTTTTTAACACAATATAATAATTTTTTTTGTGTAATTTATAAATTCTTAACCTTTTTAATAATTTCATTTACATTTAATACGCTTCTTCTTTCAGCACAATATTGAAGTTTTTAATTTCCTTTGATACAAATTTATTTAAATGCTTTTATAATAACTTCCACAGCTCAATTAAGCGCCAGACGCCACAGTTAATGATGTTGCTTCGCGGCTGATTCCTTATGATCCGAAAATCAACTTCAATCTCACATTATTACGCGGCGATCAATCTTAATATCTTCTTTTATGCTGAGTTTTCAATTCTAAAATTGATGCTATCTCTATGAGCCGGTTCTCAAATCTTCCCAGTAGCTGAACCAACTGCTATAAAATAGCTATATTACTTGTCCAGTAAATCAAAAAGTGCATCGTCACCTAGTTGCATTATAAGAAGAAGAAAGTGTTATATTACCAAGCGTATTAACATATTTTCCAAGCTTGTTTGTAAATTTTGGAGATCATTTGTTTGACGCTGAAAATAGATGCTAGAAAGTTTCGATTAGTACTCTTCGTTTAATGCCTTGATCGATGCGTGGTTTATATCTGAACAATTTACGTGACTAACCATATTTTAATATTAATACTCGATTATGGACAATGAATATCCCGAAATTTGGTAAAATTTATTGTAAACTCCGAATTCTGTTAGGTTGATAACTCTTCCATATAAATAATGGTAGAAATTAAAATGTCTGACCTAATTCTGTTACACTCTATAAGTATCCTTCGAATATGAATTAACAAAACAAACAAACAAATTTTGATCATAATTTGACTCAGGCGCCACCTATGGAGTTTATAATACCTAGAACCTTATAGCTGGATTCCACAAAATTTTCATCTTCCGTCTAGATTTGAAAATAGGTAGTTGTGAAGATATAATATTACCTTGAACGAGCTGAAGACTGAGCATTTAGAAGTTAATGCTGGTACGTTTCATCATCTTCCACGCCAGTTCTACTTTCTCGAGTTTCTGGAAGTTCAAAGTCAGAACTAACTGCTTTATAATGACCATAGGTATTATATAGTGTTCGCCTTCCAGAGTATATACCTTTAGTCGTTAGCACTCACCTGCTCTAAAAAGAAATCCCGCGGTACGCCCGTATTAGCTGTGATCCAAGATTAAGTTATAAGTTTGAAAAACATTTTCAACTAATTGAATACAATCATTATTATCGCTTTCAACAAAGGCTTATTTTGACAATACAAGCATGCCTATGTTTAATTCATTTTCCATACACTTAACTTTATAAGCCCAGCTGGGACGAACTTAGCGTCTTCATCGAATTTGTTTTATTCGTTCGGCTCATTTTGGAGTGTCAATCGCTAGATTATTGGAATGTTGCGACATCATATTCGTAAACCCACGTTTTGTCCCCTGTAATGATATTTGATTAATTTAGAACCTCAGATTCAGGTTTTGGTACGGGTTTGATTAATATACTTCATACCCAAACAATAACAAATTGTGAAGAGCCGATCCACAAAGTTGTTGATATCCTTTGCTATTTCTCTGATCAAAATACGATTTTCAGGCACTGTTCTTTAATCTTTCCGATGTTATCCTATTCAACGGTGGAGGACGACTGCAGAGCAAGTTTTGATGACTTTACGACCTTCACTTTGCTTTGCCACTTATACTTGTGTTCTGTGATAACACTAATTGATATATGAGATTAAGCCTGAATATGGAAAAAGTTGTACGAATCCAGATGTATCTTTAAAATTAAAATTTTATAAACTTCTAAAATCATCAGGTAATATTCAAACAAAATATTTATTACGTTTTAAAAAATTAAGTGGTCGCTGTCAATTGTCAATTTCTGATCACTCTCATAGGCCAAATGCAGGGTTTATGGTACTTTATAAGTGTATAGAATGTTATGTTTGATTGCGTGCGTTAGAAATTCTCATAGTAAATTAATAAAGTACAAAATATTTAACAGTTTACAAAGCGGATGCCTCTTATTAATACCATTTAACTCTCACAATTGCAGCGACCATATGCAGGTAATAACCTAAATGAATTTGTTGTTGCACGATATATTAATAATGACGTTATAGTAACTATAAATAAGATTGCATTCTAACTATTAGTAAGTTTTTGTTTATTTTTTAGTAAAGAGGGCTTTCATCAATGGCATATCATCATACTTAGAAGAAATTGCTTGATGTATTGGGAGTTCAACTCAACCCGTTTCAGTCACTATTTTGTTTTGTTGTTACTACATTGTTGTTGCACTTTTATTTTATTTTTGTTATAGTTACTGACTTTATCTACAAGAAGTGCACACTCAAAATGCTATTTAATTCCAAATACTCACTATTAAATGTTTTAACATTATCTCTGTTGCCAGATCATGTTACAAGGGTTACTCAAACGCTCTTATAAACTAATTAAAATTAGTTCAGTACAATGTGTTTATAAGATACGCACATGCATACTAAACTTATCAATAAATTTACAAACGAGAGAAATTACTCTCAAAGTGATAACTCGTTGAAGAAGAGAGGGAAAGTTGCGCGCAGGCGTAGCGGTTAAGTGCTTTATTGATTGAAACCTAAGCTGAAGTTGTTAAAATTAGTTGCTTAAGATGCTTAAAAAACTAAAGCAAAACTAAAAAAATTAATACAAGAGCAAAGAATCCACCGAATTTTACTTATTCACACACACACCTCTTCTCTTTATAAACAACAATAAACGCACCACATCATAAAACGAATGGCAACCCTACACCGACTCCACATGCATACACATACACAGAACTCTTGACATCCGCTGACATCGAAGACGGCAAAGTCGAGGTCGACCCTGTCACCAAGGCACGCACCGAATACAAGGTTATCGATGGCGGTTATGAGGTACGCACCATCACCCCTCAGCCAAATGGCACCTTGAAGACCGCTGTGCGCACTTTCTGGGATCCTAAGCCCGTCAGCGAAGAGGATATGAAGCGCGAGGCACAAAATAAGCTAGAGATTCGTAGGCGCTTTGGCAAGGAGGTACGCATCGACAAAAATACAACCATGTTGACACGCGAAATCGAAGGTGGTTACGAAGAAGTCTACACCATCATCAACGAGGATGGCACACGCAGCACGCGCACTAAGACTTTCTTTGATTCGATACCCACTGAATTGCCCGAAGACTACAAGGTGCCTGCCGTCGATAAGAATAAGAAGAAGACTTTGGTGAAGAAATCTTCGGTAGACTCGACCGACTCAACTGAATCGCGTCGTATTGTACAACGTACCGACCAACAACAGGGTAACTTCAAGCAACAAACCACTGTGGAGGAGTCACGTCGTGTCATGCAGAGCACTGAGATCACCGAAAATAATCGCACTGTACGCAAGAACTCTGTACAAGAGCAAAATATCAAACAAATTACCTCATCCACTGGTAGCGGTGTTGATACTAAGGATAAGAAGAAGACCAAGAAGACTAGGTCGAACATACCACCACCACCACCAGATTTCATTGAGAACGACACCACCACTGTGAGCTCGAAGCGTGTGCCACATGGCGTTGAGTACACCTACTCTACAAAATTGGAATCGGGCAAAACTATCACCACTTCGAAGACGGTGTATGAAGAAGAAGAAGCCGAATTGACTGAAGAAGAGATACGCGCTTACAAGAAAACCTTAAAAGATGCTGAGAAGCATAAAAATGTTACCTCCACAAAGAAACTCAGGTCTGAATCGGGCACCAAGAAAGTTGTACCATCTGAGAACCCCGGTGATGTGACTACCGTTGAAACCATTAAAATTGAAGGTGGCACTGAATATCATTACACCACTGTCACCGCTGAGGGTATCGTCAAGAAGGCCGTTAAGACTGTTTACGATCCGGTGGCAAGCAATGGTGGCGAAGAGAGCGAGGAAGAGATCGTAGAGGAGTACGAGGAGGAGATCATTGAGCCTGGTGAAAAGAATGTGCGCACTATTGAGACCGTGAAGCAATTGCCAAAGAAGTTCGAAGGTTAGTACTACATTTCTTTAGCAAAATACTTTTGTGAAACATAATTTTTCCTTTGTCTACAGAGGAGGTCACCGTCACCCATGAGAAGACCGAGAAAAAGGTAAAGAAGTCCATGATGATCAGCCACTAAACTGCTAAACGCTGTAAAGCTTCGCTGCAAGAGCGGATGAATGTGTGGAGCGCAAATTTGCTACATATCAATTTTAATTACACAGGGTGCCTATACCATTTTTATATAAAAAAAAAAACAAAAACAAGAACTCATTTTCAAATTACATAAAACACACATACAAACACACGTTCGCATATCGACACCATACTCATGCACATGTTTGCAACGGCACAATAATAAATATGCAATGCAAAAAAAAAAAAATTAAAAAAAAAAATAGGATGAGTGGAAAATCCAAAAATTCAAAATTTGTTATATTAAAAATTAAGCAATTTTTCTAAAACAATTTTTGGCTTGACACAAAATTATACGACTTTCGCCTCCCTTTTCCATTTCACATTTCAGAGTCCAGTTGTATCAATTGTTGCCGGTTTTATACCAATTTTCGTAAGCCTTGTTCTAAATTATTTCACTAGTTATCTCGTTCCTTGATCGAATTTGCTGAAAATAAACAAAATCATATATTTTGTACTTAATTAATAAAATACTATTGTAATTTTACTTTTTTGAAATGCAGATAAATTCATTTATATTAATAAAAAATTATTAAATTTGAAGAAAAATATATATAGAAATGCATAAAAAATACTTTTTGTTTTAATTTTTAAAGGGTGAGTAACGTTAAGTCAGCGTATTGTATAGAAACATAATATATGTTAACTGACAGCTGTCAAAACACAATACAGTGATATGTGAATGCCAAGAAAAATATTAATATTTCGTATAAAGATATATTTTTACCGAGCTTTATAAGTTATAGTGTTTATTTGGTTTAATTAAATGGTATAACGGTTTTTTTATTTGACGTGTGGTTTTCAATGTGGCAATACCTTTTTCAAAGTTAGTCAGCTGTTACTACATTTATACGCAGTTTGGTTTGCCATTTCACAATGAATAGTATACTTACGCTGAATCAATGTTTGCAAATCGTACAAATTTATTACCAAAATAATGGTTCGGTTCAACCGACGATGCACCCAATATGGTAATCTACAAGTCATTGTTGAGACGACAGACATCGTTATCTCCTCAAAAAGTCACTAGTATGGTGTGCTTTACAGGCAGATGGACTCTTTGGTCCATATTTCTTAAAAAATGAATCCTTGCGTGGATTCCAATGTCGTGCGATTTAACACCTCTAGAATATATTTGGTACAGTCGTTTGATAAGCCCGAGACGATTGATGGCTGCAAACAGTGGTCGAAAACTAGGCCGCTTTGCTGGCGATTACTTGCCCAAAATCTTTTTTTAAAACATAAGGACAACTCTTTAGCAGTATAATAAAACTTAACTCTTGGTAATAACATTAAATAATATGCATTTTGTTTCTTTGTGAAAACAACATATCTCAACATTGGATTACCGTTCATCAACATATATGTACCTGAGAGTTCAGAGAACGCAAAAAGAAGAAGTTCACGTCACCACGGTGAGAGATAATTTACTTTAGCATATACCTTGAGGAGAATTTAAATTGAATTTCAATGATATTGGAAAACGTTTATTCGAAATCTATTAGATAGACTTTATTACTATGAGCTTATTAACTATGACAGAGAAAACAGCATTTTTTCCTTCCATTTAATTGTCCTAAATTTTAAAATAATTAATTTTTTATAGAAAACTGTAGTTGCCCATTACTCAATAGCAAATATATACAAACCAAAGTAATAATGGAAACCAATTCTTCGCACAAAAAAATGAAGGGTGTTGTTTTAGAGATATGCAATTTTAATAGCCAATAAAACTTAGAGCAAACATACACCAACCACGGCTACATATTAGAAAAACAATCTATTTGGTACAATTTTCTCAAGAAAAATCGACATTTACTTTGAAATAAAGTACGTAAGGCTGATTTCCAAGTTTTCAGTCGCTTCGGATTTATCAGCATACAACATTTGCCCCACACACCAACACAAAACTATTCTAACGGAGTCAAATCTTATAGGTAAATTTTCGTGAATTTGTATTTGCTAAAGCAAACAGGAAAAATGTCAAACGCAAGTGCTTACTTTGACAGCTGAGTTGACAAGTAAACCTCTAGTAAAATCTAGATCTGTAACTCAAAAAAAAAAAAAAACGCTCCATATATTTTGAAAAAATTCTAGGCGTTCGATGAGCAAATTAAAATACCAGTAAATATATGGTATAAAAGTAAATCAGAAGTCGTGTTGTTATTTATGGGAGTGCATGGCGGCGTCAATATCACATTGTGATTTACCTTTGACCCACATATTTCAGACTTTATTTTTTTATATTTTAAGCGTAGCAGCAGTAACTTCCCAGTTGTAAAATATATGTATATGCATATGTACCATATGGTGCATTCAGTTGAAATCTACTAGCAAGTGAATATATGTAAGTGCATCACGGTAAACCGAATTTATTGCATTTTCAACGGCAATTCACTTCGGAAACACTATTGTGCTTTTGTGTTGCTTGGGACTGTAGTTGGGACCATAAAGCGGTGCAAAAAAAGAGGTACTACAGAAGCTTATAAAATATAAAGATATAAAAATATACCTATATAGGAGAATATAGCCATATGAGCAGAATATCATTTACATATATGTACCTTAATGCACTCATGCGAGAAAATGTAAAAATGTAGAAATAAATGTATAAAAAGATTTACGTGTAACGTCGTTCTGATATTGTGTGAGATATGCTATATGGTTAAATGCATTGCTATTGGCAAAAGCAGTAATGATTCTTAATAAAAGTTGACGAATATGTGTAAAAAATCATTGTTTATCGAACTTTTTTGAGCAATGCGCGCAAAGGAAGGTATGGACAGAAGCAGTAAGCCTTTAATAAGGCTGCATTATTTGAAATGGTAATATTTTTTTTGGGTATCTTACCTTGTTTTGAGCGAATCGTAAAAAATCGTTCGTTTAATCGTCACATAGTTTTGAATTAGTGCTACGAAACTATTGAAAAGACTACCGTGTTGTTTAGAGGCAAAAATTGTATGCTGTGGCATAATTGATTTGTCCCTCTACATCCGTTATTGACAGAAATATAATAACAGTGAAAGATTATTAATTGACATGTGCATATAAAACAAGGCTATCACAAATAAGGAATCTCTTAATTTGAAGAAAACTACCGCACAGATGACGCAAAAGAGTTGTCTGCATAAACAACGTCATCGCTCAATCAGGTGGCTCACTGTACTTATACTCTGAGCAGGGCATATGCATTAAGTTTGTCATGATGTTTTTAACAACCAGAAAGACACGTCGGATACCCTATATAATTTATATTTATAAATGAAAAGCTGAGTTGATTTAGTCATGTACGTCCGTATGTCTGTATATACGAGATCTGAAATTTTGCACACGTCCTACTCTCTCTAAAAGGCTACTCATTTGTCGGAACCGTCGATATCAAAACACTATATCATATAGCTGCCATACAAACTGAACAATCGGTATCAATTATTTGTATGGAAAACTTTTTTTATTAATGAAATATCTTCAAGTATTGTTGCACGGATTATGGTCTAAGAAAATGGTATAATCTCTAAAGAAATTGGTCAGATCGGATCACTATAGCATATAGCTGTCATAAAAACTGACCGATCAAAATCAAGTTCTTGTTAGAAATCTTTTGCATCCGTTAAGGGTATTATAGTCTCGATGCAACCGAAATTAACCTTTTCTCTTGCGTTTATTGCTCTTCCTAACAATACATCATGAATCGATTGCTACAAACATCAAGAAAGCCTCGAAGTGTGTGAAACATTGGTTTGCCTTTAGTGAACAAAATTGATCGTTACTTAAGAACTGATTATAAATTAAATTAACAGCTGAGATTAAAAATATATTTTACATACAAACAACATCACGTCAATGGGTGCAAATATTGCAGAGTGCTTGTGTTATGCTCAAATGAATTGTAGATTGCTCATACGTCATGTTGCACCGTATTGCCAAATATTAAATAACAGTGTATTGATGATTGGGAAAAGAAATACGACGAAAGATTTCAAATCGAAGAAGATTGCCGCATAAGTAGAGTGAAGTTCTGAGGTTACGCTGAGGTTATCCTTCTCTATATCATCTCGCCAACTTTGACAGTAATTATCGAGGAAGCGCTTAATCTTTTAAAACCCACTAGTTTGAAAAATAATAAAAGAGCAATAAATATAATAAAAGATTAAATGAAAATGGAGTTTGGTTTGTATGTCTACTACAATTAAAAAACAATATATATATATATATATATATATATACATATGTATATCTATTGCCTCTTCTGCTTCTTCTCCTCCTTCTGTTTATTTCCATTGCCACGGCAACGCAAAACGAAGCACACCAAACCAACAAACACCAGCACAGCCAGCACAATTCCAGCAACAACAAAAGCTATCACATCCAGCAAATAGAATTGATACCACTTCAAGGCGAGACCAGCGGCGCGCAAATGCTTAGCACCCTTGTGGCGTATCACATACTCGATCCAATAGACGGCGGTGTCACGCGCATTCAGCGGCCGATCGTGAAAAATGCTCGATATGCGTTTGATGTTGGCACGATAGCTGGGCTTCTCCAGCAGCTCAATAAGCGCATACTTTAGTACATCATAAGTGATGGATTGGAAGTGCAAGCTGATGGCGAAACCGTAGAGTTCGGCCTTTTTCAAGTTCAAGTGTTGATCACAGTAAAAGGGCATGCCGAGCATTGACACCGCGTGGTATACACCCTCCTGTGTGCCCAGTAAACCGCCATGCGTGATGAATACGCGCACATTAGGGTGTGCCAGTATATCACTTTGTGGCAGCCATTTTTTCACCATAACATTTGGTGGCAAATTTATGATGCTCTCATTTTCGAACTTCCACAGCACACGCTGCTTCATACTGCGAAAAACGTCGATGAAAATCTTTAAATAAGCCGGTGGCATGTCCTTACTCTCCACATTACTGCCTGTGGCGGTGAAAAATTAGGCTATTTAATGACTTATGATATATATCTAACTTGAGGGTGCTTACCCAAACTGAAGTAGATGGCGCCGTGTTCCGCCTCGTCCAAGAAGTTTTGCATATCCGCTGGCAAAGCTTTGGGTGGATAAATATGCATGCCACCTACAGGCACCATGCCATCTATGGTGGGACGTGCGCTAGTCAAAGGTGTAAAACTATTCAATAGCATGGCTGACAGATTTTTCTCCATCTCAGTTACTTTCGGATAGTTAACTGTATAGATTTTTTTTTTTCAAATTTAAAAAAAATTATGTTTTAATAGTAACCGACGCGCACTCACTTGGCAAATGTCCGAAATACTTCGCCACCAAGTCGTCCATCAAAGGGAAATATACATACTCGCGATGCAGATCCTCATAGAGTGAGTTGTAAGTGTTTTGCAAACGCTCCCAGAAGTTCATGCGGTCGGAGTAGGGTAGAAAACCATGTGGTACATAGGACCATGGCGATATTATGCCAAACATTTGACTCATATGATTCTCATAGCCCAATGTGCTGGTACTAACCACCGGGATTTTATAAATATGACTGAGCGCCAGGAAGGCTTCTTGGTAGAACTGCTCGACAAGCAGTAAATCATAGACATTCTCGGTTTGCTTGGCATTAATAATGTCCTGCACTTTGCGTTGCTTGAGCGCATGCTCTGTGGTGGCAACACCTAAAACTTGTAACATCTGCAGGAAACCAGCTAGCTCCATGGTGGTGAACTCGAAGATATTACGTGCGCCAGCATCTTCTTTGACTGGAATTATAGAATATATTTATATATATATTATAATAATTTATATTATAATATTTTTCGTTCAATTTCAGTTTTTTAGTACGCTGTTTAAGTACATCCATAAATTGTACTACACTAGAATACCGCTGTGGAATATTAGACCGTTACGGCATGGAGTTTTCGTCGGAAGAGAGCGGGTGATAGACAGACTACGCTTTCTGCTCTACACATGTGTTTAAGAAGATCTACAAGTAGTATGGCTACGTGGATGTACTCCGAAGTGCTTAATATCTCTCTCTTCATTCGATTGGATTTTAGTATCTTCTAAGGGGCGGTACTAGGGATTATGGATACTTGCAGAGTTATTGTACAAAAATATGACAAATGTACTTTCCAAAATTTTAGTTTCGGCCAGCTACATTACTATCACCCTTAGCATCGCTGGAGAGCAGATTTAAAATCGTAAGACCGTGCAAGGCTCAGATCACTACTCTTACTAATGAGTGTCGCTCTTATTAGAGAGACTGCAAATTGGGACTGATAGCGACGACAGCGGATTTTACAACCGTTACAGTTTTTTAGAATTACAAGTACTTAAGATAACTGTAATAGTTAAACGCAAAACCCAAACTGATAATAAATAAATTTAAAACAATTAAACCCTAGATCAAAAAGAAAATACCTGATATGGCAAAAAATATACTAAGAGAAATCCAAATAATTGTTTGTATCTCTACATTTTAGGAATTCAAATTTAGATTTTAAATAAATTGTGATTTTCAAGGAGTAAGAAACGTTTATTTCTATAACTCCTTTTACTCACCATCCTTCCAGAAATCATAGACTGGCTCAATAAGTATCTCAGTGTAGTTGCTGCCCAAGTTGAGTGGCGCTAAAGAAAGTGCTGTGATTAACGTGACCTGCACAGTGCAGTCGATTTATGCACATATAAGGTATAGCAAATTTGATTAGTGAAATTAATTTCTACAACAATTTTTTCGGGAAAGCGCACCTACCTGATGTCCATTCCTAACCAACTCTTTTATTATAGCTTTTTGCATCATAAAATGACTTTTGCCGGGAAAGGAATACACCGAGAGTATTCTGGCGCCATTAGCGGTGGATGTGATAGCTACAGCTAGTGACAGTAGGCCTAGTAAAATTTTGGAATTCTAGAAAAATATAAAAATAATTGTTTTTTAAGAAAGTTTATTACAATTTGTTGATATTGCTGCTATATTTGTTGATAATAGTATATTTGTATGAAAAAGACATTTTTAAAACTATTCTATGAAACTCGTTTTTTAAATTTGCTTCAAAATAT